TTTTTTTTGGCGACAGACTTATCCGTAGTTCTGAACATTTTCTCGATGTCAACAATGAATTATTCTAGCAAACCCGCGTGTTCCGGACAATATATGGATATGGAAATTATGATATTTAGATATTTAGACAATTCTCATAATTTTTGCAAAAGGCTGTAACTTGGGTTTATAACATATGAAAAATGTATTTAATGTAATGAAGCTTATAGTTGTTGAGTTAATTTGAAAATATATTTAATGCAAYAAAGTTCAAATTTGCAAACAAAACTTAATAATGAGATAGAACTTATTAAAATAACATCAGTTTTCACATGACAATGTCTATGAAAATAGGTATTTATACAATATAACTTGATATAATTATTAAACTACTAAACTTACATGTCTGTTCTTATGGAATAAAAGTGTTTCTTAMCTTGTTTAAAAGTCGGCAAAATTTACAAAGAAATGTATGGGCTRCCGGCATGAGATCGAGGTTGACCTTGACTTGTTACAACCTCGCCAAACATTTCTATGCAAAATTTAGTGTTTTTGAAGTGCCATATCTCTTTGAATTTAAATCAGATTATTTTCAAACTTGGCAAATTTGCTGATTTTATGAAGCTCTTTCCAGTGATGTCAATGATTTACCATAACAACGTAATGTAAACTTTCGAATTATCCGCGAAATGGTGTATTGGTACTGGTCGATCAAAGACATGCCAGTTCTYAAGTCTCTCCATGTATCTTTCAACGTGTATGCGGAGGCTTGCAATCTTCTTATTATGATCTGATTCCAGTTTGGTGAACTGAGTTTTCCCACTTAAGAAGTGTGGCAAAGCTAGCTTTGCCCCAACTGCTGCTAATTCATCTTTTATAGTAAAACCTTTGTCTGCCATCACCCAATCGTCTCTACATAAATGTGTTAAAAAGCCAGATTTGTTCACAATCTCAATGTCACTGATGGATCCACAGTAAAGATCACTGCAAAATGACAGAACGCCATTAGGAGTAATACCAATAAGAGCTTTCATTGTTGTATGGGATTTGTAACTGGAATAGCACAATGACCTGTTGTCAAGACCAGATGGTGATTCCATTTGAATTTCTGTACAATCAATGATTGACACTAAATGAGGGTAAAACAACTTGAACACTGGTGGCATAAAGTGAATAATCTGTTCTTTTGATGGCCACTTAATACAAATAGGTTCAAGCTCTTTCTTCATGAATTTAATCCATGCTCTTCATATCACTGAAACTGTGGACACAGACGCTCTAAATCTCTCAGCTATGTCTTTCTTGAACAATCCCAGACGTAAGCGTACAACTACCATGGTAAACTCCTGCCAGATAGTAAGCTTTCTCTTACTACCTGGTTTCTTATAATTGGTTGGGAATTCAGTTTCGTCTCTGTTCTTATAGCACAAGTGGGCTGCTTTTTCTTTCAATAAGTCAAAACACAGTTCTAAAGTTTCATAGTTGGGAAAACCTGTATAAAATACAATGTCCTCATCGCTGTCTTTGTGGTCACTGATTTCAAACTTTGGTTTAGAGTTCAGGTCGTTCATTTGTGCCTCCAAACAGTGTATTTTTGCTGTGAGAGCAGATATTTTGTCCTTTAGAGATTGTAATTCATCGTAATCRTCTGTTTGAATGCTCTGGTCTTTATATTGTTCGTCATTTTCGAAATCCATGCTGTCATCTGCAACAGCTTCCTCACTGACTTTAAAACTTGTAAACACTCGCTCACTGAAATCGGTACAGACTGCTTCGTTCGAGTTTGTTTTGCAGCCGGCGAGGGTAATTCGACTCTCTCAATTTTCCTGCGTTCATTATGGACAGAACTCCATGGAAATATTGACGGAAGTTGAGTTCTTGACATTCTTTCGCCTCCAGGAAAATGTGATCCACATATTCGTGTGCTTGACGAGTTTATCTTTAAATTCTTGTTTCTTATTAGCTTCTCATATGTTCTTAAAACCTTTGGGTCGCTTGGAAGGCTGTGAAATTTCATATTTGGAGAGTTTTGCCAGTTATTTGTGCATCCTGGCACACAGCAATTAGATTTTACCATTTTGTTGCGTATTTTCAATACACTTTTAGATAATGGTGTCCCCTAAATTCGACCCAGCGTGCTTTGCACTTACCAACTCGACCCAATCTCTCGCGCAACGTAAGAATGGCGAWTGCACCGGYGTATTAAATTGGTACAAACAATTTGCAAAAGAATACACCAGGTTGCTAGCCTCACCCAAACAGATAAGGGGAAAAACTGGGAAAGTGAAGTCTCCAAAATTGCTAGAAGCATCAAGGAGGGGTTCCAGGTCAAGCTGAGCCATGCTGGTGAATATGCATTTTGTGAACTGGCTGGAAATATGCTACTTGATGCAGGATTTACTGGCTTAGTATATGACATACTTCAAACATTTTGTGAAGGACTGCCTAATGTTTTCCCACTACTTATGGACACACCAGAGGGCCTGACTGGAAACCAGTATGAAAGAAATGCCAGACTGTACTTAGGATTCCAATTTCACATGATATTTGGATACAAATCTGTTACTGCAACAATCAAGCAGGTCACAGTTTACTCTGGTTACTATATTGACAAGGCAATATCAGATGCTAAACTTGTAGGACTTCCCCTGACACTTCGAAACTTCATAGACAGTATAATGGAATCTAAACACAAGGAATGCAAGCAAGGCAACTATAAATTCAGTGGGGGGCGATCGGGTGAAACAGGACGGACAGACTACCAGAAGAGAGTATTGGAGCAACAGTTTGTGAATGAATGGATGCGAATAGAGAACAGAGAGGAGCATAAAGCAACATCAYCAGACAGAAAGGTGGAACAACACAGCAACCCTAATAGAGATACCAAAAAGAAGTGGGTGCGTAATTTTTATATTGTAATCATAATTTGATTTCGTTAATTCTGTATGTTAGTAATATTCCCCATTTTTTTGTTCACAAGTATTCATTATGATTACAAACTTCAATAAGAATGACAAAAAATATTATTATTGGATTCCTAATATTCACATTTAACCATTATCAGTACATACCCTTTGTGAAGGCTGACGAGTTAATCAAGGAGGAGCTTCCATCTAATCCTGCAGAAATAGAACAGGCAAGTATTAACTACACATACAAACCTGATAACATATATGAAGCTAAAATATTTCCCATGGTCGACTTAATTTTCACAACACWTATATAATTAAATACAGAATTAAACCACCATTTATAATATTATTCTTACTCATTTTTAGAGGGAAGAAGCAGAGGACGACAACGAGTGAGAGGATKGGTTTGATGTAGCGAATCTGATATGGGTAGMAGAGGGTTCCAGTGTCAGTAAAGTACAACATCTGAAAACCTTGCTGAGTAGGATGGCAAATGAAATCTATCCATCGACTTCAGTAACCTATATGACAACCGAGTCGGCAAGTGAATATRCCAAGCAGCATTCTACACGTGGAGCTTTCTCTGCGAATATAGATCGATTTACCCTAGAGGCTGTGCAAAACAACGACGCTATATTAACCGGGGCAAGGACAGATCATCGCGTATCGAAGGAACTGTTTACCGTAAAACTGAACTTGTCGAACAACGCAGAAAACCGAAACATCTCAGCAGCATTCTACACCTGGAGCTTTCTCTGCGAATATAGATCGATTTACCCTAGAGGCTGGGCAAAACAACGACGCTATATTAACCTGGGCAAGGACAGATCATCGCGTATCGAAGGAACTGTTTACCGTAAAACTGAACTTGTCGAACAACACAGAAAACCGAAACATCTCAGTTGAGTTTTCGCAAGCCAATGACCTTTGCCAAAGAACTAGGAGAATCACTCTAAACGCTGCATATGTTATGGGTCTGAAGATTGATAGAGAGAGTTTGACAGCTCGAGTTTATGACTTACCCAAGTACGAGGTCCAAGAAAGAAAACAAAAACAATGGCGCCAAGAAACTGTCAAACACAATTCCTACAGACAAACCACAAAATTACGTACCTTGCTCTACAATAAAAGTCATCTTTGGAAGAAATAAGTCTCTTCCTGATTTCCAACAATTGTTCAGACGAGATGAGAAGCTCAACGCTGCCTTGTCTGCTGGTATACAAGAAAAGTATCCAGCCTTCACCACGAACGAAGGTCGGCCAGAAGACGTGCTCCCCATCGTTAAAGATCCTGAGCTGGTTCGAGCTGCACAGCTACTTCTCCTGGACTTTCTCATTGAGGAAAAGGCAACTGATATTCCCTGGTTGATCTGGCAATACTCTGCAGTTTATGAAGCTTTTAAGCACCTCTTGAAGTCACGCATTGACAAGAAAAGTTRCTCTCAATTCTCTCACAAACAGTGAAATTCCCCGTCGCCAAGTGTTGGTAGGTTTAAAAGAGATTATTTTCTCGAATATAATCAAGCAAAACTATCCGATTTGAAATAGAAACATATATTAAAGCTTAGACTGTCAATAAATTAAGTCAAAAGTTGGGTAAATGTAGGATTAAATCTGGAATTTGTAAAGTAGTTAATATCTCAACGTACGAAGCACATGATTAGACCGCCGCCATATTGAAATTTGTTTGGAACGCTTGGCTGTGCGACAAAAATGGCTCTGATTGGCTAATTTTAAACCGGAAGTGCTTTGCGAAATCAGCTGGTAGGTATTTTTGTGCTCTATGAAAAAATGCCTATTCCACTAGGTATTTTTGTGCTCTATGAAAAAATGCCTATTCTACTAGGTATTTTTGCGCGCTCTACTAACTGTGAGCCAAAACGCTCCCCTGCCATGAATGAGTATATATTAGGACACAAATGCCTATTCCACTAGGTATTTTGTGCTCTATGAAAAAAATGCCTATTGTGGAATAACACTTAGAGCTTGAATTCTATGATACTTTCGCAGACAACACTTTTAYGTGGGAGTCGCGATTATCATAAAGCAAATGAGCAACATGCCAAAAGATACGGAAAAATCGTCATTGAACAGTGATTGCCGTCACAGGTAGCCCTTCTTTTCTCCCGTTCCTTCAGTCAGTATGAGAATCGTGGCAACTACAGTAAGTTGACCAAGACCCCACACACTGGAAAGAGTACATGAAATTAGTCGTATTGTTTCAGAGAACTTTGGTGCCAGCATTGCAGTTCACAATGACGATTGATTAGTAGTCAAATTAGTTAGAGTAGTAGATAACATCAAAATATGACTAACTAATGATCTATTTTTTTTCCATAAATTCAAGATTTATTACTGTAAACAGCTCTTTTATAGTTGTGTGTTAATATCAGAGATATTTTTGAATCACCAGAAAGTTCTACGATCGYAYGTTTACCAAATTCTTACGGTTTAAACTTCGACCTGAATCTAGCGAAATTTGAATCTCATATTCATCGAATCCTTCTGCTACATTTATATAGACAATTTATCGCAGAATAAGACTCCAAAAAGAAAAGTGCATAGTCCCCAACTCGTTTTTGAGATAATTAATTTTGAATAGGACCATACAGTGACATTTTCTAACAAACAATTGTGAAAAATCCGTTTTTTCAAAAAAAGTCATCACTCAAAAATTAGGTATCAGGTTATTTTGCACACAAGACCGTTCCCACAAGTCGTTTCGCCCGAGGTTTCGAATCGTTCGCACAATTCTTATATGGATGGATAGTCATTTCGCACAGAAAATAAAATGCTTTAAAGAAAGATATGAAAGGTATATCAATCTACTCGACTAATAACATATATCACTTTCAAGTGTCTTTCGATGAAATCTTATGGCTTTTAAATTCATATTTACGGAAAACGTTTCAACGATCTCGAACGCGACACCGTTGAAAACGACGACTCAACAACTTGGTTGCAGCATTACACTGGAGCAAAGAAACACACATGTTTCTCTATTTAGAGGTTAAATACCGTATTTACCCATGTATAAGCCACTCTCGTAGATAAGCTGCACCCCAAATTTTAGGAACGTTTTTGAGGAAAAAAATATGGAAAATAAACTTTTCTCTTTTTGATCGCCACTTGCRAACACAGCTTTCTTTGATTTTAAAGTGCTTTTCCGCTGCTCGATTTCCGTGATCCATGCATTTCGTATGCAATTACAATCTGTTTATTTAACGTAYGGTGTACTATGATGGATTTGATCTTGGAGACATAATTGTTAAGATTGATAATTGATACYTTAAAGAGTTGTTTTTCATTCAAAAGGTAAAAGCAAACTAGTAATTAACTTAGTGATATAAATCTCATCGTGCCGCCAAACTTTTAAACATAAGGATTATGCMGAAACCGTTTCGTATTTCAAAAAAATATCAAAGCAGATTGTATTTGTTTAATATAAGGAACAATTTCTTAGGCTTATTTCTGGGTATTCAAAAAATTTACCGTGGATTCTTCACTTTAAGTGTGACAAAGTCGCTTAAATGATCAATGCAAATTAGCATCGCGTTAATACCAAAACAACTCTAAGACAAAACGATTGAAAATGCTCTCTGTACATTTTAGCTCAATAACCACGCACTTTTCAGTTTGATTTATTGACTTGTGTTTCTCAGAGCTAGATTTTCGGAGAATTTATAGTATTACTGAGAAGTTTGGATTAAAATTTCTGTTCCCGCCGTAGGTAAAACACTGATGTCCTGTCTGCAGTAAGTAGCACCGTGAATGCTAATTTATGCAAATTAGTTTTTATTGGGCATTTTTACAAGTCTTCTCGTAGATAAGCCACACCCCCGATTTGGGAACGACTTTTYTGGGAAAAAAGTGAGGCTTATACATGGATAAATACGGTAAACCCAATTCTCTTTAATACCTTAGATTTGATAACTGATTAACTGTTAGTACTGTTTTGATATAAAACGACATTTGTATGGCTTTTCAATACGCCATCGATGTTCCARTCAACACTTSATCACATGAGCCATAGTTAAYATTAACTGTGCTTGAACTTTGGGGAACTTGTTGGATATATTTTGGATAATAATCWAGCATAATTCGTACAGAATCCACAACGGCAAATGTTGGCAAAATCCATCATGGTAACCGATACACGTGTCTCTCAGAGTTCAAAGTCACTTGACAGTTTCATCTGACTATAGTTAGTACAGCGAAACTTTCTACTTCTACTAAGTATGGACTRACGTATCAGTGATTCTGTTAACACGTTAACACGAAAACCATATTTAACTTTTACCTGTATATCTTTACCTTTTTTAAAATAATGGGTTAAAATGGGTTACAGCCGTGGCTGTTAAAATTCACCATGGAGACGTAAACAAACAACCACTCCGCAGCTTTTCTTCAATCTCAAAACWATSTACTTTGTTGATAGAGTTTTTCTGGCGATGCAAATTACAGCACGGCTTGTTTCGGAAAAAGTTCAGGGATGACAGAACAGAATAAAGACACAAGCCTCAAACGCTCCAACTTTACGACTTGGTTGAAATTTGTAAATTTCCAAACATCACTTAATGAACATACATCCCTTTGTAGTGACACTTGATAAAACGTAATGGCTATTTATCTTGGTGGGAAAGTCAACAAAAGAGTCAATTTGATGACCTTCATCCRCGACAAAACCTTTGATCGTTTGATTAAAAAAACCAATGGGAAAACCACTTACAGAATAAGCAACATTGAAGACCGCCACAGAYGGAGCCTAGAGATGCCACTGTCATTGGTACAAGCAGTAGAAGGAAGATGGACAATTGAGTCAACTGATGAAATTTCCACCTATGATGTACGTAAAATTCATCAGAGTTGCCCAGAGGAAAGGTGCGAGATGGTCTATTCAGAATGCCAAATATGCTTGCATATGTTTGTGTGTGACTGTACAGACTATCTCGTACTGAGTACCATATGCAAACATATTCACTTGGTACAAAGAAGTCTACATGTATTGTCAGAGGGTCCACTACAAGAGAGCTTAAAACAAGATAATGATGAAATTGACTTTATACAGTCATGTGTTAAGGTTCCAAAGTCTAATGTTGAAGCCATAAAAGACAGAATTAAAGAGAAGATGCTGTCTTTGATGACATCAATATCTTCCTCAACCAATACAGAAGCACTGCAGTACCTCGAAAAAAAGGTTACAGAGGCCAATAGTGTGTTCTATACACTGAATAATCAGACAGATATTCCAAAAATTGAGCTGAAAAATGACCACAAAGCACCAGCAAACAAAAATATGAAAATAMAACGACGGTTTTATTCAACAAAAAAGAAAAGAGAAAAATCAAAAGTGCGATACACCCGGCCATCAAAAGAAGAGAAGAAAGCATTCATTTCTTCTTTYGACAACACACAAAATATCCCACCAGGTAAGTCAGCTCATAGCAATTWCTATTAGTTACATAACTCAATCTAAAACCTTAGTTGCAACAGGGCTCGGAATTGGAAAAAAAGGGCCTTCTACTTTGAGAGAAATCAAATACACTGTTAATTTTATGTCTGTCATCATTTTGATCATTTTGGACTGCCAGACATTGACTGCGTCCTGTAATATGACCATTAGCAGGCTACTATTTCGAGCCCTGTGTAATACTAAGTAATTATTACATTATAAATATTGTGTTGCCACAGAGAACTAAGTCATATTAATTTAATTTCTAATTTTGTAAAGTAACTTGTAAATACAGAAAAATAGATCACGTTAAACTTGTACACATTACAGTATGTAGCCATCTGAAACTTTCTAAGATAGCAATAATTATAATCATTTTCACAGATGAAACAAGAGTTCTTATGTGGTTGATCAACAATAGTATGCTAGAGCAACTTCAAAAGGAGGGTACTCTAATATCAAATGCCACCTTTGATGCTGACACTCTGCCAACTGATATTCTGGATGCCAAAGATGGTGAATTATCTTCAGTTAAAAAATACTTTTGATCAAGACACTTGGAAACTGCTTCAGAAATCAGGTTATTTTTTTATAATATTGTTGAAATTGAAACACAAACTGTCCAATTGTTTCTGAAATTACCGGTACAACTTAATGATTATAGCAAGTGCATTAATATTAATGTACATGTACGTTGAAGCTCTAACCGCAGTATTATGTTAATTGTTTAAACAGTGGAAGATCTCAAAGACAGCTGGAGATGCGCATATTGTAAACAGTCCAAGCAAACCAATATGATTGAATGTGAAACATGTGGTAATTGGTATGACTGGTGAGTAAATTATTTTCTGGTAACTTACATGTACTTAAACCCTATTAATTTTAAAACAATCAAAACATTACTAATCACTGATATTTTGCATTTAATTTTACTTTTTCTTTTACAGGGGTTGTGCAGGCATTAGAAAAGAGCCACATACCTGGCATTGCCAAAGTTGTCAKMCACCAAGTAAACGCATTGCTGTGGAATAATAGCGAATRTGGTCAACAATTATTTATTGTAGTGTTGTAGTAACTTTCACTGACACTCTTACTCTCAAATTAGGGCATTAAAACACATTAATTTTGATGACTCATACGACACACAAATTCGTTCTTATTATTAACACTAAAACAAGAATTCACAATTTCACAAATTCACAATGAGTGTTTAAGAATTCTGAAAATCCCATCTTAGACTTAAATCATATGAGAGTCACAAGTGTAGYTTTAAGAGTCATGTACCTAAGTTATGTTAAGGGACGGTATACTTTGACCTACACTGTATCAGAGCATGCATCAGTTTTGGTCTGTATCAATTATAAAGTCAGTGGTGTGGTGTGTGATATCCCACAGCTCAACCACTGAGGGCAATTAATTAACACTTTACTTTACATATAGATGGCCAAATATTTACAAATACTGTATTTCATGATTAGGTACTAATCCAGTATTACAGGAGGATTATAGCGATACAACATTAACATTACACTGGATTGAAGATAAACAACTTGGAKTAGTGCCACCGTGACGACAATAAATATAATTGGATCTTGTTTCTTTTGCGAAAAGCTTATATATGCAACAAACTTGGAGCCATTCCTGTAAACGTGATAGAAATAGGAATGGCTCCAACACTCGGTTACTTGAAATTTGTAAGAACTTTCCTTTAAAGGTGTTGTTCCAGAAAATATCCATCCCCCCATCAACCCTAACCCACCCCCGGTAAACCCACCCTCCAAAGGAAGACAGATTTTCCATGAAATGGAATTGAAAAATAATATACTTAAATTATTGCTTAATCAATATAACAAAAATTATTACTATCACGGAAAGTAATCAGTCAAATACGTCTTATGTAAACATTTTGGAAATTATTTTACAAACAAGTTTGGAGCAATTCCTGTCAACTTGATAGAAACAGGAATGGCTCCAACACTCAGTCACTTGGAATTTGTAAGAACCTACCTTGAAATAACAAAAGAATGAAAGTTATCCAACCCAAATATACATATGAAAGTATTCAGAAGAAAATCTTGATCACTTATACACTAAATAGACGCCAATAACCTTTGYCTTCATCACTCTGACTCAGAGCGAGACTTAGAACACAACCATAACAACTTGGTAACCGTGTCCTCATTCCCAGTTCCTTCTCAACCAAAAAAAGATGTCGGAGCCATTCCTGTATTTAGTCGCAAGTGGTTCATGTTCGTGGTCAGGTTGTGTATACAAATTCAAAAACACTGTTATTACAAACTGGTAATGCGAACTTCATTTATAGTAAAGTAAGAATCGCAATAAAACTAATAATCTCACTTATCATTTTCTGTGGGAAATGTCCTCTTAAAGTTGTGCGAACGGTCCAAAACCTGTGCGAAAAAACTTGTGCGAACGGTCTTTTGGGCGAAATGACCTGTATTCAAAAATTATTGAAGATATACTGATTTTAACAAAAATCCACCCTTGAAATCCACCTCAAAATCTAACTTGAGATCCAACTCAAGAACCAACTTCGGGGTTTAGTTTATTGCAACCACTCATCAATAATCTAGTGATCCATCCCTTAGACGGGAGATGGAAATCATCGAGTTAGACTTCGAGTTTGAGTTACAAATCATAAAGAAAAACTATTACAAAATTGCATAAACTATAACTGAAACTATAACTATTTCAGATAATAATAACATTCATATATAATCATTATTATTCTTGGCTTTCACATGACGCCATCATTCGAAAAATTCTAAAATCACAGACGCAACAGCACGATATAAGTTTGCTGTTTATTCGTTTGAGTTATTTACGTTACCCAAGGGGTCAATACTGAGGTTTGAACAGGGTCCGTGCAGAGTATCAACAACGAAATTTAAGGACTTTTCAAGGACTTTTCCAGGACCAAAATTGTATTTTTAAGGAGCATCAAAATAATGCTAATTGTACATTCTTACCTCAAAACCCTAATTCAGAGATCGCTAGCGCTTCGTGATAGAGATCCATCTTTTTTAAGTTTTCAAGGACTTTTTCGAAATTTTCAAATTTTCAAGGAGTTTCAAGTGCCCTTGAAAACGAGTTTTCAATTCAAGCACTTTTCAAGGATTTAAGGACCTGCATGGAAACACGCCAAAAACCTCGATAAGTAGAGTGTATAATTGGCTAGATGTGCAAGCAGTAAAGAAAGCTTATCAAGGCAACRTTTTCTGCTAAATAACGAAGAACCAAATGTTGCATCTTTACCGAGTCTTCGTTAATGAGACAGCATGGTAAACTTGCAGTGTGTCTGGCTTGCAAGAATTCATATGAAACTGATGGTGATAAAAATGTACTGCTCGAAGCCGTATTGTTTCTTAAATCTTTTTGTACATTAAATTCACACCGGGTCAGGATTTTGAATTGTAAAACCAGTGCTTGAAATAGCGGCCTGCCACTTACCAAATGAYGGGCCGAATTTAGTACTTGGCAGGTCAAAAAAAATTATAGCCTGCCAGAAGCAAAAGAAAATGGCAGGCCAAAAATATCTACTGTGTATGTGCAATGAATTCCATTCACAATCAAAATGAAAATAAATAAACAAAAAGTTGGAAGTACTATCAATTTAAAAAGAGTAATTTTAATACTCTCATCTGCAATCATGCAAACTACCYGTGGTTAGCTACAAAGAAAGTATCGGAGTATACAGAAGTACATGTACCATAGGAATGAATAGTTTAACTTGCTTACATCTAATTGCTTGGTAGGTCAAAATATATTTTGGCAGGTCAAAATGTGCCATGTCTATGTGTCAGGCTAAACATTTTTTCTATTTCGAGCCCTGACAACTACCAAGACCCCTTTTGGTCTATTTTGTGTTCGTGTCTTTTTTTTTATCATATCAATTTTGCCTGCGTAAGTCTACCATAGCCATAGTATCTATTCTTCGCCAGAGACACAAATTAACCGCCTTGTAGCCTATTCTAAAACATATCTGCAAATTATGAAAATTAACACGAAGTCCAACACGAAGTCAACTCAAGCTCGAACCGTTAAGTTTCAAATGACTTATTTCCAACAAATCTTCCATGTGACAGTGCAGAATGTTTTCATAATATTAATCGTATAAAATCGATTGTAGGCACTTATGAAAGCGATCTATATTTAAAATTGTTCACTGTCTTATAGCTCTTATACCTGCATTTTGTTTTAGCTTTAACTTATTACGTTGAAGCTTTTAAAAATACTGCAAAAAGTTTCGGACATTTTTGCAGTTTTTCGAAATTGCCTAAATATCTTAATAATGCAGTACACATTTTACGTTTTTCATACCTTATTCGTTCGTTTCTAAAGCGTTTTTTCCGAATCTTTAAACACTGCTGCGATAACCCTTCTATTCGGGCTTGGACGACACTGCAAACGATTAGCCCATCATGCTGCGGGCGCGGAGTACGGAACATGTGCRAACTAGACGCTCTAAGAGTGTGAAGTCGGGTTAGCTAATATAATGCATAATTGAAAATAGGGAAATAATAACGTCATCATTGCAATAAATATGTAGCTGACTCTATATATTGCTTAGCGGAAGGGGTAACCCTGATAGATGTTGCAACTTTTCATGACTTATAATARTAGTTGTTGATTGTTAAGGTATATGTCAAGATATAACAGTCAATCTCATGAGGACTGTTTAGTTGTAAAGACGTAGAGACAACGATAAAGGAAATAGGCGATATGCATTGTGGCGTCATTTACTGCAACTACCAGAATGCTTTGCCAACTTTCTTTTGCAATGCAATAACAATGAAGTTATGCGCAAGGCTTTCTGGTAGATGTAGTAAAGTTGCGTCATAATACAAACGGCCTATTAAAATTGTTTTTTCAAGCTATAGAGACAACTCAGTTTTTTTATGGTTTTTGAACTTGTTGTCTTAAACAGGGTATACATTTCGGATGGGCATATTAAGTAACAATGCGCTAAAGAACTAGGGAACTCTCTATTGTTCTGCGGCATAGCAAGTTCCCCATGTACGAATGTCTTGGTTTTCACACTGATTATGTATCCATCTGTGGGTAACACATTTTTGAAATAAAATGTGGATAAACTCTATTTTTTGAACAAAGTTTCTTTTGTATTAAAAGCTCTTATCCAATCATTCGCACTCAAAACAATAGCCAAAAGATGCTTCTAATTTGCTATGTTCCCCATGTAGAATTGCCTTAATATTAAAGCT